CTCCCCTCCACCGACCCTGTAATGGGCTATCTACCCTCATCAGACCCTGTAATGGGCATTCTACCCTCATCAGACCCTGTAATGGGCCCTCTACCCTCATCAGACCCTGTAATGGGCTATCTACCCTCATCAGACCCTGTAATGGGCTATCTACCCTCATCAGACCCTGTAATGGGCTATCTACCCTCATCAGACCCTGTAATGGGCTATCTACCCTCATCAGACCCTGTAATGGGCTATCTACCCTCATCAGACCCTGTAATGGGCTATCTACCCTCATCAGACCCTGTAATGGGCTATCTACCCTCATCAGACCCTGTAATGGGCTATCTACCCTCATCAGACCCTGTAATGGGCTATCTACCCTCATCAGACCCTGTAATGGGCTATCTACCCTCATCAGACCCTGTAATGGGCTATCTACCCTCATCAGACCCTGTAATGGGCTATCTACCCTCATCAGACCCTGTAATGGGCTATCTACCCTCATCAGACCCTGTAATGGGCTATCTACCCTCATCAGACCCTGTAATGGGCTATCTACCCTCATCAGACCCTGTAATGGGCTATCTACCCTCATCAGACCCTGTAATGGGCTATCTACCCTCATCAGACCCTGTAATGGGCTATCTACCCTCATCAGACCCTGTAATGGGCTATCTACCCTCATCAGACCCTGTAATGGGCCATCTACCCTCATCAGACCCTGTAAGGGGACTTCTACTCTCCCTGTAATGGGCCCTCTACGCTCATCATACTCTGTAATAAACCCTCCACCCTCATCAGACCCTGTAATGGGCCCTCCACCCTTATCAGACCATGTAATGTGCCCTCTACCCTCATCAGACCCTGTAATGTGCCCTCTACCCTCCCTGTAATGGTCCCTCTACCCTCATCAGACCCTGTAATGGGCCCTCTACCCTCATCAGACCCTGTAATGTGCCATCTACCCTCATCAGACCCTGTAAGGGGACTTCTACTCTCCCTGTAATGGGCCCTCTACGCTCATCATACTCTGTAATAAACCCTCCACCCTCATCAGACCCTGTAATGGGCCCTCCACCCTTATCAGACCATGTAATGTGCCCTCTACCCTCATCAGACCCTGTAATGTGCCCTCTACCCTCCCTGTAATGGTCCCTCTACCCTCATCAGACCCTGTAATGGGCCCTCTACCCTCATCAGACCCTGTATCATTAGACCCTGTAATGTGCCCTCTACCCCCCCTGTAATGAGCCCTCTAACCTCATCAGACCCTGTAATGTGCCCTCTACCCTCCCTGTAATGGGCCCTCTACCTTTATCAAACCCTGTAATGTGCCCTCTACCATCATCAGACCCTGTAATGAGCCCTCTACCCTCATCAGACCCTGTAATGGGTCCTCTACCCTCCCTGTAATGAGCCCTCTAACCTCATCGGACCTGGTAATGGGCCCTCTACCCTCATCAGACCCTGTAATGGGCCCTCCACCCTTATCAGACCTGGTGATGGTCCCTCTTCCCTCCCTATAATGAACCCTCTATCATTATCAGACCCTGTTATGTGCCCTCTACCCTCCCTGTAATGAGCCCTCTAACTACATCAGACTCTGTAATGGACCCTCTACCCTCATCAGACCTCATAATGGACCTTCTGCCCTCATCAGACCATGCAATGCGCCAGCTTACCATGTGCTTGGGTGGGGGGTATGGGCCCTATCAGGTAGGCTGTATGGGGCCCCTTGATTTTAATTGGCAGCCCTGTTTGTTTGCACTGCAGATAGTAGTGTTGGAAGGAGCACCGTGTGCATCTATTCTGTAGATTAGCACCACGCCGCGCTCCAACAGGAGGCATTCGTAGATACCAGCAGGGAGACGTAATAGTGCAGTGGGGGCAACTTTGTATCCGAGTGCGACATAAAAATAGATTTCCAGCCCCCAGATGATTATTTTCTCTCCGTCTGAGCCGAGAATCTTTATTTATAAATTACAAACTGAGAATCTTGAACCTTTTCTTGTATTAAATGTAACATTGACCGCACCCACCCCGGAGGGACCAACGATTGTAAAATACAAAACGCTGCCAAATCAATGAATCCGATCCTCAGCCAGCGCGGCCGATCAGATTATACCGAGCCGGGACAAAAGGAAGCAAAAGTCCCTCCGTTCAAATCCGGCGGAGGGGGCGCTGACGCTGTGCTCGCTCCGGGGGTTGGAGCCGACCCCGTGAACTGAAGATGGAGCAGATCCCAAGTCCTGGAAGGAACTTGCTGCAGCCGCAGCAGAACTACAACCCAACCGCGTTTAAATGATCTAAACCTATTCCAGGTGCACCAAAAGCCTGGAGAGATGAGCTCTCTGTTGGGAAGCAGTGGGCTCTCTGCAGAGGTCCGCCATGCCCCCTACTGAGTCAGGGCCAGAGCTTGCTAATCAGAACTTTTCTGATTGCAGAGCTATAGGTCTAAGTTAGTAGGGGGCATGTTGGACCTCGGCAGGGAGACCGCTGCTTCCACGCAGAGAGCAAGTGTGGCAGGCTTTTATAATTAGGCTCTGGCAAATTTAACTTGATGGCCCTGCGATGTAATTATCTGATTCTTTCAATGCTGAGGTTTAGAATTACACTTGTAGTCCTCTATAGCCGGTGCCATTCTGCATTGCTGTATAATGTATCGCTGGGATTTGTAGTCCTCTATAGCCGGTGCCATCTTGCATTGCTGTATAATGTATCGCTGGGATTTGTAGTCCTCTATAGCCGGTGGTATTCTGCATTGCTGTATAATGTATCGCTGGGATTTGTAGTCCTCTATAGCCGGTGCCATTCTGCATTGCTGTATAATGTACTGCTGGGATTTGTAGTCCTCTATAGCCGGTGGTACTCTGCATTGCTGTATAATGTATTGCTGGGATTTGTAGTCCTCTATAGCTGGTGGTATTCTGCATTGCTGTATAATTTATTGCTGGGATTTGTAGTCCTCTATAGCCGGTGGTACTCTGCATTGCTGTATAATGTATTGCTGGGATTTGTAGTCCTCTATAGCCGGTGGTATTCTGCATTGCTGTATAATGTATTGCTGGGATTTGTAGTCCTCTATAGCCGGTGGTATTCTGCATTGCTCAAGTATAACAAGCAAGTTGTAAGCAGAGAGAAAAGGACGGAGCTCGGCTGCTTATATGCCCAATACTAGACGAGACATCGGCAACAAAGGTCCTCCACACGTGGGTACCAGGCAACACCTGGCGGAGCTCTCATCTCTAGCTCCTCCCCCTGCGCTGTGGCATATGCAGAGAGTAGTGACACATGACTGGCACAGGTATTGCAGAGGTGTCTGGCATGGCATCAGGCAAGATGGCAGTGCCAGGCGGAGAAAAGAGCGTCTGTCCTGGGGACAGAGGGAGCCGAGTTCTGTATACATTCTGAGAAGTTGATTATAAACGGATACGTTACTGTAACCCGGCAGAAGTTATTTTGTTACCAAAAAGGTTTATTTTCTCTACTTACAGTTTCAGATCACGTTGTGGTAAACGACTCCATATACACACCGTCCAACTTCCTGAGATGGGGCAGGGGCGTCACAAGGGGGGTGCGGGGGGTGCGGCCCATTGGAGCGGTGACACCAAAATTACTTACAGTCATTTTGGTGTCACCCCCCTCTGAAAAGTCGGGCGCTCGGTCATGGAGCGAATGCCCGACAGTATCAGGAGAGAGGAGGGGACCATTAAAAAAACCTCTTACCGACACTGGACACCGCCGCAAGCTGCCGTCCTCGGCCCCGCATCCCCGCAAGCCGACGTCCAGGTGTTAGTAAGCACTGGGTGACTGTCCCCTCCTCTCTCTTGGTGATGGACGCCGGTAGGTATCAGAATACTGCCGCGAAGGCGCGTGGTGACGTCATCGCGCAGGCGCGTGGTGACGTCACGCACATGCGCAGTGACGTCTCGGCGGGGTGACACTCGGTTACCGCTCCGGGTGTCACCCAGCCTCGGGATGCCCCTGGGGGGGGGGGCACCATATACTACAAAATAGCCACAGAGGATATAAATCCACTTTGTGTGCACCAGATGTGTATCGCAAAACCAGATGTTACCTTAAAAGTAGCAGTGATATAATCACAGCACTGTAGGGTTGAAGGGTGCAGGTTGAGGGGAGAAGGTTGAGGGGAGAAGGTTGAGGGGAGAAGGTTGAGGGGTGCAGGTTGAAGGGTGCAGGTTGAGGGGAGAAGGTTGAGGGGAGAAGGTTGAGGGGAGAAGGTTGAGGGGTGCAGGTTGAAGGGTGCAGGTTGAGGGGTGAAGGTTGAGGGGAGAAGGTTGAGGGGAGAAGGTTGAGGGGTGCAGGTTGAAGGGTGCACGTTGAGGGGTGAAGGTTGAAAGGTGAAGGTTGAGGGGTGCAAGTTAAGGTGTGAAGAGTGCAGGTTGAGGGGTAAAGATTGAAGAGTGAAGATTGAAAGGTGAAGGTTGAACGGTGAAGGTTGAAGTCACCTCTTATTATTCCTTTTTAGGATGACTTTTTATATGTATATTAGAGACAGAGTCACTTCATGTGACCCCACCTGACCCCAAAACTGACACAAGTTCCGGCTGCAAGAGATTCGGGCCAGAGATGAAGCTGAGTTCCGTCCATGATACACGAAGCTTCGGCTGAATGTCACGTGCTGTTACACCTGTGTCTATTAGGACTGCTCTGGAGGGTAGAAGAAGGGGGAGGACGACCCCGAAAACTCATCCTGTTAGTGAAGATAAAAAAAGTGTCCCGGACAGAACTCAGCTGTGCGGTTCCGAGTGCAGTAATACGGCTCCAATCAGAGAAAACAGCATGTGATGAATAGAAGAAGGGAAGAAAAGGGAGGAGGGGGTGAGAACGGAGAGAGTGGGAGGGAGGGAAAGACAGAATAGGACGCACAGCCAGACAACACTTACTGGGAGCAAACTGATACCACAGAGAGAGAGAACCAAGCCAAAGCCCAGCACTCTTCTCTGCCCATTCCCCTCCGCACACATGGATACATGACCGGGTGACTTTGGATTACAGTCCTATGTCCCGTGTGTGCACAGCTCTCAGACAGAGGCGCCCGCACGTTCTATACTATGGCCAGGTGGATGCTACCCGGGGATTGCTGGACGGTGGCCATACTACTGGTGCTGGCGCAGCGATTCCACACAGCCGCGGCAGGTACAGTCCCCATGCATGCTCTTCTATTGCTCTGCAGACAGTTTGGTGATTGGGTCGGGTTTTTGGGGGTTCATCTGAATCTCTTTATTATGTCTTTAATGGAAACAAATGTTATGCATATCTGATCGGCTGGGGGTTCTGATTCTTAAAGGGCCTGTCCACCCATTGTGGCTATAGATTAACGTGACATTAAACCCTGAGATTTTTTAACATAAACCAATACTGTAATGTGCGCCTTACATGGTAGTTTCCCTTCTCTTTGCTGCTCTTCCTTTTAAATCCTCATCTCTTCTCATGCTGGGGCAGAACTTCGGTTTTGTAGCAGACTGCCTTGTCTCTGGAATGCACAGGAAGAGGCACTCAGCTGCAAAGGTAAGTTCTCCCCCAGCATGAGAAGACATGAGGATTTAAAAGGAAGAGCAGCAAAGAGAAGGGAAACAACCATGTAAGGCACACATTACAGTATTGGTTTTTGTTAAAAAATCTGAGGGTTTAATGTCACTTTAAATGTTTGGTGCTATAACCTACCAGTGGTGATCCGACTGGAGCTCCAGGTCCACTTATCATGGAGTCTCACTTTTGTAGTTGCAGAAAGAGTTTAAACCCTCCTACTGCAATGTTCCTGCTTGGAATATGTGGACTTGCATTGCTGGCTCGCTCTTAGAACTACTGGTTTCCTGGCTGTCTCTGGCGTCATTGCTTTCCCAGTCACTCACCCGGAGCAAGCATGCGTCGAGTGAAGTCTGAACTCCTGAGCTGCATGTTCAGTAGGGGTTGCCACCTGTCCTGGATTCACCCGGACAGTCCAGGATTTGAATGCTGTGTCCGGGTTTCATGGCAGGCAGGGGCAACCGAAATGAAGATAGGGGCTACTGGCGCCCAACCCCCCCCCCCTGAAAATAGTCTCGCGCGTCACTAGAGTGTTCGGGTTTGGCTTGAAGAATAGTGCTGGGTGCCAGGCTATCAGTGCTGGGTGCCGCGCTATCAGTGCCGGGTACCTCTTGCAGCCAATGTGCCACAGCAAGGCGGCATTAGCATGAACTACGAATGTGAAATCTATTGATCTGTGCTCATAGATAATAAAGCGCTAATGTGGGTAATGAAGCCGCCACAATACAGACTCGAAGGTCCCAAGAATATTATTAGCACGAACTACAAAGCCCAGCATGGATGACATCTAAAAACAAATTCAGCCCAGGCAACCGTAGACAATTCTGTGGCTGGAACGTCCAGTAGCTCCACCAATCAATGCGCCTGTACACACCCCCCTCATCAGGCTCATTAGAAGGTAACCACGCTCCAGACTGTTCACAACGCGGACCCTTCACCGTGATAACGAACTCGGGAACACGAATGGATCTTATCAGCAGAAATAACCACAATGTGTTTTTGGACATAGTGCCGGTTCCTTCCCAGATAGCAAAGCCATTGAGCTGCAAGTTTGAGAATGACTCGCTAAGCTATCGCAGACTCGCCGAGCTGCGCAATGTTGTTGCACAATTACAGCGAGTGTCCGGACCGGCGAGCTTGCAGAGGTCTTGCTAAGGCCGGGCACACACCTTACAACCATCGCAGGACTTTTGTCTCGCGATGGTTGTAAGGTACTTAAAAAAAGTACGATCTGCCCATCTTGCACAGGCAGATCGTACTTGCGATGATCGCAAGCCACGCCCCCCTGAGGGGGCGGGCTTCCGATGACCGTAATGCCGAACGGGCAAGCGCACACCGGCCCGTACGGCTGTTATCGCACGGACATGCCACACACCCGCCGAACGTCATACGATGCTCGGCGGGTTTTCGAACATGTCCGTAAGTTAAAAGTCGTGCGACCTTACAGTAGCAGAGGTCGCACGGCTCCCACACACCTTACGATCATCGTACGATCGCTGGATTTCCCGCCATTGTCGTAAGGTGTGTGGGGAACCTTAAGACCTGCGGGACTCACGCTGTGGACTTGCCGAGCGAATTTGCTACAAATTCAAAAAGTGTCGCCTGGAACTTGCGCCGCGAGTGTTCTGCGAGTCCACAACCGGCCCGGAATGTGCGCAGCAAGTTACCGAGAGATACAATGTAACCCGGACACAAGTTTGTGGCAAGTTATCCTCGCTATATCTGGGACCCCATTCACACGTAGCCACATACCTTTGCAGCGGCCGGGATAGCGCGACTTTCGGGGCGACGTTCCAGCGACGATCCAGCGACGGTAGCGCGACCTTCTCCGTCGGGCTCCATTAGAAAAAAAGCAAAATCCGCCGGAAAAAGGGTCCCGTAGAAGCGACCTGCGACGAGCCACGCGCGACATGGAGTTAAGACAGCTCCACGGAATAGCATTGGCCGGCGACTTCTGGCGATATCGCGCGGCAAAAATGGGCGATATCGCGGCGGAAATCGCGCGACAATTCGCTATATGTGAACGGGGCCTTATGGGAGGTCACAGAGATATTTGGCTACATATAGATACATTCTATGTCCTGTGTGATGTCAGTACAATAAATAGAAAGAAGAGTTTCTGGTAAAAAATAGCAAGAACAGCCGAGACAACCCAATGCCCTTCGAGGGTTAATCCACCCGGAACCGAAATGTTGGTGACAGATGGACGCGAATGGGTTGAATGACCCGCTGGCTTCTGCTGAGCCCAGCTCCCCGACACCTTTCTGGGGGATACTGGGGGTTGTAGTGCCATGTGTTACATCAAAGAATATTAGTTTACACAGCAAAATACAGCAAGGTGAGCCAGGAGAGAGAGCGGGGAGAGACAGCCAGGAGAGAGAGCGGGGAGAGACAGACAGGAGAGAGAAAGCGAGGAGAAACAGCCAGGAGAGAGAGAGAGCGAGGAGAGACAGCCAGGAGGATGAGCGAGGAGAGACAGCCAGGAGAGAGCGAGGAGAGACAGCCAGGAGGATGAGAGAGGATAGACCTTCTTTGGTTTGGCAGTTGATTGAAGCTGGAAGTGATGGCGGCACCGACAATGAACCAGAATGGGTCACCAGGCATTGCTCTGCGTACTTCTGGCCGTGTCAGTGCGTCGTGTCTGTGCTGGGAACACATGGCAATGAATGGCAATGTAATAATGAGACCACCAACATGGGAAACACCTAACAAGTTATGGGCAGGACGCTATGTGACGGGAAAGGCTGATTCGCTGTTATCTGACATCTGGTAGTATGTGTGACTGCCGGGTGAGATGGTTATAGGGCAGAACACGGCGTTCCCACACACCTGCGGACGGGATAAAAGGCCAAACCAGAGCCCAATTCACTGGGAGCTGAAGGAGTTCATTGAGGGAATGCTATCGCACCAGTCATTGGATCATAGAGCCAGAGTCGGGTAGACGTTGGATTGTCAGTTGTCAATCATTAGTCCTCGGCCCTTGTCAGGTCAACAATTCAAGTGGCAATGAGCCCCGGCGAGACAAAATAAGAACTTTATAGCAGTCACAAAGACTTTCCTTCAAGGGTCAGTCCACCCACAAGTGACATCTTAGTTACAGAGAGAGTTTGGCAGACCGGGCCACCTTCCAGCTACCTAACACTCTTGGGACCTCTAGAGTCTGAGTTCTTGGCTTTGTTTCTGCTCATGTTGGGGGTTTGGGGTGGTTCTGCCCACCTCGGGGTGTTCCCACGTCTCCTGCTGCCTTTGCCGTGTTAGAGAATAGATCAGCAGGGAGGACAGAAGCCAATTATAATGACTGTAGCGGATGTTCAGACCCAGGAACTCACCTGCAGAGTCCCCCCGAGAGATGAGGAACCGTCAGGTGGTCTAAAGGAGAACTATGAGGGGGGGAGGGGCTGTTCACTCCCCTCATAGTCCTAGCCGACCTGTGACAATGAGACTGTCACAGGTCGGCTCAGTAGATCGGGAAGTGAGAGAACACATACCGGCGTTCGCTCACCTCTCGATCCTGTCACGGCTCTCTGCTGTGACAGGGAAGGGGCTGGATTCCCCACTCCGATCCGCCAGCGCTGACTGGCGGGACGGACAGGGGGAGGGGGCGGGTACAGCCTCTAGATAGGAAGAGCCATCTGTCAATCACGCAGCTGGGCGGATCCAGACACAATTGTCGGGATCCGTCCCGGCTGCGGCGTCTCAGTATACCGCTCCCTGTAGCTCCCTATATACTGAGCTTAGGGTGACGGGAGGACGCTAGTTTGTGTCCTCCCGTTACCCTAAGGAGAACTATGGGGAAAAGCCCCGACCTCGTAGTTCTCCTTTAATGGAATCCAGGGAAACATAAATATCAGCTTTGGATAAAGCAAACCCCTGCAGGCTGCGGTTGGGCTCTTATTTGGCCCCCACCCGGTATTCCATGGGCTGGGGATACGTTGTTGGCATTTTTCTGGTCTTCTCATCGGTTTTGGGTCGACCGGCTCTGTAAAGATGATGAAAAATGATTCATTGAGGTAAGTTAGTCATTCTTTACAATTCAGCCCTATTGCAACACAGTGTTCGGATTCGGGTAATGGGAAGCGGATGGGCTAATGAAGTCACATAGAAGGGGGCTGAGAGCAAGCTGGGGGGCCACTGGCTGGGGTCCCATGCTGTACACCAATAGAACAATTTGGGACATTTAGGTGATGTGACAGGTCATACAGTTACTTCTGCTCCAGCATTACCATTGGACTAAGTGTTAGCAGCTGGGCTGGGCCGACCCAGAGGCCGGGGCATCCCTATACTTTTCATGGTGCATGGGAGGGTGCAGATGGTGTATGTAAGGGTGGTGCATGTTACTGGAAAGGGGGGTGTGGTTGTTGGTGGTGCACATTATGGGGGGTCCATGGTACCTTTATTCGGCATCCCACCCAGCTCACTGATGTCACTGGTTACCAGGAGCTGGACAGGACATCAGACAGAGCATCACGGTTTGCAACCTGGGATGCTCTGCCTGGAAAGGGGGTGGCAGGTGTGCCCCCCCCACAAGTGACTCCATCTGGGGCACCCATCTCGGGCATTGTGGGGCAGGAGCCTCTCCTGCCTTTGCCCTCTGGTTCTCTCTCCTGCTC